CCCTGCCCCGAGGTTGCTCTCACGCCCGTGTCCCTGCCCGCTGACTCCCTGTGCAGCACTGCTTCCTTCTGTGCCACTGAGCGGGGACACTCTCCTCCCCTCACAGCTCTCAGTCTGTTCCTCCCTGGTCAGGTGAGTGAGTGTTTTCTGGGCCGTTGACCTCCGAATGTTTTGGTCATATCCAGGCCTAGCCAGAGGTTTTTTTTTTAACTCATCCACCAACATTTATTTACATAAATTATGTGCATGTAAAGCTAAAATATGAAATAAATTATATATAAAAATAATCAGTAGAAGGGCTGATAAAAGGTTATTTTAAAATAGTTTTTAAAAATTTACCATGCTACCATTACATTCCGCTGTTTGGATTTAAGCATCTTACTAGCTGTGATGGCTCTATCAGCAGCTAATTTTTCAGGGCACATCATATACCTGAGGCAAGACTCATGAATATCATACGAGACAAAGATATTTAAGATAATTTTCAGGTTTTGTAAACTGATGTGTTGCCACATCTGATTTGGGTTATCCTTGTTTTTCATGGTACAGCAAACAAGGGGCTCTGCCATTTTCTTGACAGAGGGAAAAGAAGATGCACTACTGTTTCCATTTAAATAGTCTCCTCAACTTTGTTTTCTTCTTAAGAGTTATTTAAAGCGGTTATTCCATTTTATAAGAATTAGTGAAAAGCGCAGAGTTAGGCTGAGGTTATACCTCAGTGGTGCATGTTCAGTGTCTGGGAGACTCTAGATTCAATCTCCGGCACCACCAGACTCTTCACTGAGCATGTGCAAACTGTCGAGTGAGCAGGGAGGGAAGCAAGTGCCTGACGGGGGAGAGAGAATGTCCCTGCTCCGCCCTCTCTGATGTGGGATTCCCGCTCTTCCCTCGTGACGCTGCACATGTGTTTGTGAGTGGGAAGCATCTGACGATGTAGAATTTAGGAGTGCGGGCCAGGGTCAGTGTATTTATTAATATTAGTGAAGCTTCACTTTTTCCAACTTTTTAGATAAAAATGTTTTAAAGTTGCATCTTACGTTTTCCTTCCCACAGCGCCACCGGTGGCTTAATGTGCATGTGTGATTGCATGCAGCCCAGCCTGCTGCGGGTTGTCCTTTATCCCTCACCCCACCGCACCCGGGCCCCAGGGCTGCTACCAGTGCTTGGCCAGCACAAAGCTGGATGTCACCGGGGAACTGTGTACCGTGAAGGAGAAAGGCAGGGCTGCACAGTGGGAGTACGGCTGCCCGTCAGCTGTTCCCGCACAGTCCCTTCTCCCTCTCTCCTTTCTGTTTCCTTCCTTCCTTCCTTGAGGAAAACCACAGAAGACTAAATAACCAAAGCAATTTTGAACAAGAACAATATTAGAGATCTTCTACTACCCGATTCCAGAATATATTACCAAGCTACAATAATCAAAATTCCATAATAACTGCCTAAAAACAGAACAGACCCATGAAACAGAGTAGAAAACCAAGCAGAAAGCCCACACACGTGGTCAGTTGTGTTTCAGCACGAGTGCCAGGAACACCCAGAAATCCAACCGACAGTCTTGGGAAAACTAGGCTTCCACATGGACAAGAATCGGACCTTTCCTTACACAGACACACAAACGTGAATTTGAAGTGGGTTAAATACCCAAAAGTAAACCTGAAACAATAAAACTCTCGGAAGAATACTTCAGGGAAGTTTTTGGAGCTTGGTATTAGCAATGATTTATTGGATTTATACTAAAAGCATAGATGACAAAAGCAAAAATAGACAAGTGGGGGATACATCAAGCTGAAAAGCTGCATAGCACAGGAAACTGAACCAGTGAAAAGACAGCCTGTGAACTGGGAGAAATGTTTGCACACCACTTACCTGGTAAGGGGTTCCTATCCAAAGATGTATGAGAAAGTCTTATTCCCCCCAGGAAAAGCATCCAGTTAGGACGCAGGTAACGGACGTGAATGGACCTTCCTCCAAAGTATTAAAGGGCTGGGAGCTGTTTGAAAACATGCTCAGTAGTACTGATCTCCGAGGAAATGCAGATTAGAATCTCAGGCAGATAGCACTTCACATCTGTTGTGATGGTTCTTACCAAAAATAAAAGTCAGAAAGAAAATGTGCTGGTGACCATGTGGAGAGAAAGGAGTCACTGAAAACCGCTAGTGTGCGGAGCCAGTGTGGACACAGCCGGCAAACGTAGAGGTGCCAAAGGCAGTCAAACGACTGTCTAGAAAAGGTGACTGCTGTCCCATGTTCTTCATGTCAGGATTCACAGTAGCCAGGGTTGGAAACAGCCGAAATGTCTGCCAGCAGATAATAGAGAAGAAAATTTTATACACAATTTACACACACCCGGAGTAGGACTCAGCCTTTAAAAAGCAGCAACTTAGGTAGCTACGGGCGATGCAACACAAAGGGCATCAGACCTATTACGAAAAGCCAGTGCTGCACGGCCTCGCTTTGGTGAGGGCTCGGCCATAGTGCGTCTCAGAGTCGGGCAGTGCTGTGGCAGTTACCCAGGCAGGTGCGTGGGGTGGTGTCAGGCCAAGGGGACAGAGCTTCATTCAGGCAGGGTGAGAAAGTGCCGAGACCCGCTGTGCAGCGCAATAGGTAGGAGTGGGCCTGTATGTTCACCTAAAGTAATTTTTAAAAATTCTTGGCGATATTAAGGTTTAGCTTTAATGCTTTCCAGTTTTGAGAAAAGGTATTGTAAGCTCCAAATAGGAAGAAGATAGTACATTTGGCCAGAAAGATTTATGAGCAGCCTTGGCTCTGCATGTCCTGTTGACATGCTCTGCAGTGTCACCTGGTTCAGCACCTGCTGGAAGAGCACATTTTAGGTCACTGCCCTGCCCCTGACCAGCCAGGTTTTAGAGGCACTAAAGAACTCAGGAGGCCTTGCTTTTGAGTCTGCACGTCGGGAAGAGGCTGGAGCGGGAGCTAGAGGATGTCAGGTCCGGTGATTAATGATGGGGAGGGGGCAGGGGGTAGAATACACAGTACCTCCACCCCCAGGAGGAATGCAAACACCACTGCGCAGATCCGTGCACAGTCACTGATTTCCTGGGAGTTGGAGAATTTCATACTCTTCCACCACAAATAAAACTGTCAGAGAAGTGACAGAGCTCAGAAAGCTGGCCTGCCTGCCTTAAAAAGAACAGCGCAAACACAGTGAGCCAGAAAATTAATTTCGTATTTGCTTGGCGACCCAGCCTAATAAAATGAGAAAATGGGGCTTTCATTGAAAAGCCTGACCACCAAATATTTGTTGATTCCAGCCCTACATTTGGTTTCTTACATTTACTAAATTCCTGGAAACTACTTTAAATGAATTTAAAGGGAAACATTCCTTCGTAATGAAATGGCCCATCCTAAAGTTTTCAGTTTGGTCTCAGTGGTAGGTTTAAAAATCATACTGTGATAAACTCCCCACCCTGTTGCTTTACATTTGGGGAAAAATTCTAAAAGTTCAGGATGGCTTGGTAGTTTCAGCAAGTAATTCCCAGGTAGAACTGTTTGGTTTGTTTGGTTTTTCTCATCCCCGTTTTTTCTCTAGCAGTGGATCCACAGCATCTAGTACTTTCCAAATGCTTAAGTCAGAAGCAAGCCATTTTAAATTATAAATAAGGGATTACAAAGCTTTATTTAAAAATGTAAAAAGAAAGCTAGTAAGAAACTCATTGTGTTCCCAGCTGCCTTTGGTTATTATGTGTAACCAGAAGTAGAGACTGTGTCAGTAATAGAATTAGCAGCAGCAGTGTAGGCTTTAAACAACTTAGATTTTACCAAAAATCACTTATTATGTCTCGTTACTTTTTTCCCTGTATTTTAGGCCCTCTGTATTAGCACACATTGCTCTGTGTTATCTAATTCTTAAGGAGATACCCTGGTTTTTATTTTTCTATAGTATAACAAGAAAGAAAACGTTGATTTTTGAAGAAACGGAACTACATTTGAAAGTAAAGGAAAGAAAAACTTTATTTTTCTGTTTTTCTATTTGTTTTACTTTTTAGGGTATCACTATAATCTAAATTAAAATTTAGACTACTGTGGTCTACAGTAAGACAGACGAGTTAAGCCCTGAACTTGGTTTCCAAGTGGTTTTACTTTTCAGCTGCACTTGGAAGGCTTTATTTTTAGTCGGCAGGGGTTATTTTTAGCGCTGCTTCTCTCTCACTAGGAAATGTAATGCCTGTCTTTTCCATTGTTGTTTGTCAGGAAGGCGGAGGCGCGGCAGTGCAGACCGCTTACTTCTCCTTTAGATGAAAATAGGAAATAATTCTTGGGGGAAACAGGCCCGTTGAGAACATTTCTAATTTTGAAATCCTTCGTGTCATTTGAATCTCTCGTACATGGAGCAGCAGAACCAGATTTTTGGGCAAGGCCCGAACTCCTAGGTTCGGGGTCCCCCTGCTGGTGTGTGTCCGGCTGTGGGCTCCTCAGCGGGGGCCAGGGGCCTGACGGTGGGGAAAGCACCGCTTTGCTTTTCCTGCCAGTGTCCTGCCCAAACTGGGGTGCTGTAGAAACTGTGTTTGGTACATCAGAGAGAACAGAACTTCACCCTGCGCTGTTGAGTTGTCACGGTTGTTGCCTCTTGGTAAGCTGCTTCTGCGCATTGCTTCTGAGGGCTTCCCGCCCCTGGAATCCAAGGAGGCGTGAAACACCGTGGGCCTGCAGAAGGGGAAGTGCAAGGCCAGCATTGCTGTCACCAAAAAATTAAAGACGCTGCCTTTAGAGCTCGCTCATTACTGTGTTAGCGTTTCAGGAAATAAAACGACATTGTGTGATCCTGTCTGTCCATTTAACATCTGTTCTTGATAACGTAGCGTGTCTGTGTTGGAGACAGTTCTTTATTTTCTGTCTCTTAGTGAGGAGTAAATATTAATGGCTTATTTTGAAAAAGAAAAATTTTAATTGACTCCTGAAAGTCACTCCTGACCTTACTATGTTCGCATTTTAAAAGACTATCCAATTAACTTAAAATATTGTATTCTTAAATTGCTTTTCAGCAATGCAGTCAATCTTTTAAGCAATGTTCCGGTCTCTTGTTTGGATGTTCTCGTTTGTCCATTAACCCATGAAGAAACAGCCCAAGAAGCGACGACTCTGGATGAGCTGCCCAGCGATAAAACAGCTGAGACAGAGCCAGCTCTGAAAAACAGTCCTGTGGCGTACAATGGCATGAACATGGAGGCCATTCAGGTTTTGCTCAGTTTTATGGAGAAGAGAATAGACAAGGTGAGCTCGAGGGTGACGCTCCCGAGAGCTTTCTGGAGCGTGCGGGTGCGCCGCGTACCCAGACCGGAGCGGAGCGTGACTCCTGAGTCTGAACTTTGTAGTAGCTGAAACGTTGTGTTTTTACTTGGAGAGCATTTTATTGTAGTAGATGATAAGTGCTGAGACCCAGTGAATTTGTTTAGTGATGAAAATACTGTCATAGTAGTTCAAGTTTGTTGCTAGTACACAAAAAACAATAACTATTATTCCACCGATAATTTGTATATCCTAGAAATAATAATTTTCCTCCAAAAACTAGATACTTTCTGTAATATCTTTAAAAAACATCTTCAAAAAAATTTTTTTTTTACTTTTCTGCTTGTGAGCTGTTTATTTGGTCTGTCACTCACTGTGTTAGCAGGGTAGCATAAGTGGTTCTTCAAAACCTTTGCTTCATGTGAACCTCCTCATTGGTCAAGCCGGAGGACCCTCAAAAATGTAGGAAAACTTGGAAGGACAAAAACATGGCAATAACTAATCAAATGAAAGGAAAGTATCCTCTCACATAGTTTCTGAGCCTTGGGAGAAAGGTGTGTCTCTCCCCAGATATTCCTGCACTACAGGGAATGGAGAACAGGAACCTTTGAGATGCTGACGTCGCTGTGTGGTTCTCTTCCCAGGGAAGCAGCTATAGAGAGGGCCTAACTCCGGTTCTCAGCTTGTTAACAGAGTGTTCCCGCGCCCACCGGAACATCAGGAAATTTCTCAAAGATAAGGTAACTGCTTAATGCGTATTTCATGTCAAAGTTAATATATTTATATATTTTTAACACAGAACCAATGAATTGATTTTTCACGTATGGTTTTCTTTCAGAAAATCAGAGACTCAGAAAAGTTAGTTTTAATCTTTGAAATCTTCCAATCAAGAAAGAAATTATCTGTTATTTTTGAAAGAAATGATTTGTGTATTTTTTGAATGTTCACTGATTTTTTTCAACACTATTTATTGAATCTGGTATGAGCTCTTTTTATTTTTTTTATTTTTAGTCCTGGGAATTGAACCCAGGACCTTGCACTCGCTGGGCAGGCAGTGTGACTGAGCTACATCCCTGGCCTAGAGCCATTTTCTAAGTGTTGTTCTGAGCCTTGCTCAGCAGATGGAGTCATGCCCTCATAAGTGGGATGGATTCTGACGGCAGGAGTGCCAAGTGCTCTGGAGGCAGCTACAGCAGGGGAAGAGAAAGGGGAGACAGGGCTCAGGGTGAGCTCTGAGGTGACGTTGGCACAAAGCTGGGTGGATCAGAAGAGTGCCTCCAAGAACGTCTGGAAGGGAATGTACCAGAGAACAGGTTCAGAGCTCCCGAGAGAAGGGCACTTTGGTCAGCCTAAGGAGGACCAAGGCGACCAGTGCGATTGGGAAGGCACATGCAAGGGGGGCACAGTGGAAGAGTCCAGGAGGGGACCGTAGCCGGAGGGCCTCGGGCTGGGAGGACGTCTGCTCCTGAGAAGGGTGTGTGGACACGGAGTGTGTGGGGAGGGGGGAGGGAGCCATCGGCCGGCTCTGGCTGCGGTGTGCGGGGCCACGTGAGTGGGGCGGGCAGGTGGGAACAGGAGGTGGGCCCTGAACAGCACGAGGAGGAAGGCTTGCGGCCGAGGAGGGCCGGGCGCTCCCTTCTGGGCATCCATTTCGAGAACAGTGCTCACGTGATGTACTGAGAGATGGGACAGTGGGTCGAGAAAGGCGGGAAAACTGAAGGTGGCTTTTAAACGTTTAGATCGTGCCCTAGACTCCCACGGCTGAGACCTGGCCAGGACTGACGCTGACCTCTGAACCCCGATCGCAAGCACCTCTTCATTCGTGCCCGCAGGCTCCCTCCGTAGTCCACCTCCACGTGGACTGCCAGGCCCCCTCCCTCCGTTATTCTTTTCTTTGGTACGAGGACTTGAACTCAGGACTTTGCACTTGCCAGGCAGCGGCTGTGCCGCTGAGCGATGTGCCCCATGGCCCCTTCCTTTGCTTCTCACTGCCCTGTGTCCGTCATGTCCTCCTACCAGGCTAGATCTCATGGACAGTCCATTCCTGTCTTCACTCCTTTCCACACATCCTGACCTGTCACTCACCCTCCTCCTCTTAACGTTCCTTGGAAAACACAACAAGCTCATTAGCTCTGGCCTCTGCCTAAGAAAAGAGGGCAACACGTTGACAGCCAAGAGGCTCCCGCAGAGTCTGAGATGATTACTCTGCCAATCCTGCTTCTTGGAACTTCCCTTTACTCTCTTTATGCCCGCGTATTTGTTGACCTTGTTTCCTGTTGCTGTAAGAAGTTACGAGAAAACATCACCTTCCCACCGCGGCACCCATGAGGCTCTGGTAGTGGTGCGGCCAGGTTCTCTGCCTCTCCTCTGTTGCAGAGGTGAAGTGCCGCTGCCTCCTTCTGTGGAAAGGCTCTGTGCCACATGGCTTTCCCTTGCTTTCTCATGAACTTCCTCTCTGCATTGTTCATTCATTCATACCTTCTCTCTCTTCCCTCCCTCCTGCTACTGGGATTGAACTCAGAAGTTTTGCTTTGATCCATGTCCCTAACCCTCTTTACATTTTTAATGTCGGGAACAAGGTCTTGCTGTGTCTCTTTAAATTACTCAGGCTGGGCTCAAGCTTGCAGTCCTGCCTCAGCCTCCTGGAGTGATGAGATTGGAGGTGTTCGCCACACCTAGTTCCCCTTGTGGCTTCTTACGTTAATCTCTTTTCTTTTTCTGAGTATATGAGATCATTTCTGTCGTCACCCAGAACCCTTCCATTTTCAGACTTTTGGTTTTTTTATCCTGCTTCTCGGTTTGCCATCCCAAGTCTCTGCTCCTCATCGCCTCTGTTCTTTTAGTCCTCTCTAATTCTCTCCTGAACGCTCTGTAACCAGGCGTCCATGCATGCCCTCTGGTGTGGAGCTGTCCACCCAGGCTCACCAGAGTGCTCAAGGCTTCTCTTGCTGTCTAACAGTGCCTTATGTGTATCCCTTCCTCCTGGAAGGACTCCCTTCACTTGGTTTCTAGAGCACAGCGAGACTCTGCCGATCTTTGTCTTCCAAATACTCAGGTCCTCCAAGGCAATTGACTGTGCTGCTTGGTTACTTTTCCCACTTGCTGACACCCCAAGTTAATGGAGGGAAGGTTTGTTTAGCTCCCAGTGTGTAGAAGTTACAGTCCATAGCCGGCGGGCTCCAAGGCAGGCTGGTGTAGCGGAGGGCATGGCAGAGGAGAGAGGGTCCGTGGCAGGCAGACAGCAGGAGGGCAGCCAAGCAGTCAGGCAGGAGCAAGGAGCAGCAGTGGTCTGCCTCTGCCCTCACCCAGAACTGTGGATCAGTGGACTGACTTAGCGATCACACTCCCTAGATCAGCCACCCCTGCAAGGCCCCACCAGTGACCACGTGAGACTTGTTTTCTTCTTTTCTTCCAAATCCATTTTATTTTAAGGTGGAAAAGGAAAAAAAGAAGAAAGAAAAAAATTTCAAAACATGTCAGTCAGAGGGCAGCACTACATTGTGCACTGTCATCTCCACACATGAGACTTTCCATCTCCAGTAATTCACCAAATGACGAACACAGGGAAAGAGGAGGGGAACCCAGTAGACGTTCTCTAGGCCTTCTAGAAAGCATGGAGCTGTTCCTTTGGCCACACACATGCGAATCTACAAAAAGGGTGGTATTGTAGACATCCAGGGAATGGGTATTGTACAGAAAGGAATGCCACACGTGTCACCATGGCAAAGCAGGAAGAGTCCGCAGTGTTGCCCAGCATGCTGTTGGCATTGTTGTCAACAAGCAAGTTAAGGGCAAGATCCTGGCCAAGAGGATGAATGTGCGTATTGAGCATATTGAACACTCAAAGCGTCGCGATAGCTTCCTGAAACACGTCAAAGAAAGCGATCGGAAAAAGAAGGAAGCCTGGCCCAGAGAAGCGGCCTGTGTGAGGACCAGTGGGAAGGAGCCTGAGGTGCGGGACCCGTTGCCTGTGAACTCATGCCCTAGCTGGGGCGGGAGCGCCGCCATTCAGCACCTAATTGGCGGCTAAGTGTTCTGGGCCCGACTTAGGCATGAAAAATCATCCCGTGTTGTAAGGGTGGTTTTCTTAATTGGACAGGTGTGATGCCTTTACTTCAGAAACAAATATTTGGGGCAGATTTTCATTCTACCTAGTTAATTGTGTTCAGGTCTTTACTCTGTAGTGTTTTTCTTGCTGAAAGATACTGCTGAGGTATTGTGTAGGTGTATCCCAAATGGCCAAATATGTATGAAATATTTATATTGGCTTGAAGATCCAATGGGGAAAAGATCACCATGGGGAAACGATGTGTCAAAATAACATGGAAGTCACTTCAGTTAAATAGAAGGAAGTCCATTTCAGTTAAATAAATTGTTTAAAGCAAAAAGAAAAAAAGACTTTGAGGTGGCATCTAGACACAAGCCACAGCAACTGTCCTGTCCCTGTCTGCAACCCTCTGAGATTTGCCTTTGGAAACAGCCTTTGAAACCATCATATGCTGATGACTCCCAAGTTCCTGACGGCAGCCTGATCTGTCCCCAAGCCTGGATTTGTGTGGGTGGGCATACGGCGTCTGACACTTCCCACTTGGCACCTGATTTCCCAGCCCTTCCTCCCTACAGTGCACGGCACTGCCACTTACCTCACTGTTAAGTTACGCCGCAGAGAATTTCTCCTAATAAGCGAGCTGAGTTTGTTTCCCCTCTCTGCATTTACAGTCAAGATTGAGTACGTGCATTACTACCTGTAGTCGCACTACTGTGTAGGTAGGCTTTCTTTACCAGCCCTACTATGTGAACTGATGAACAAAAATTAAAAAGTAGGGGCTCTGTAAGGAATTCACATTCTATTGAAAGAAAAAGAAATATCAAAAAGCATGAATGATCATTTAAGCAAGATAAACTAAATGGTTATTTTTAAATGGGATTAAGATACTTGAGTGGCCAAGTAAAACTTCTTTAGTTTTGTTTTTTCAGAAAAGTAATCTCGGGAGCAAAGTTTAAGTAAACCTTTTATTTCACCATCTCTAACTAGAACATAAAAATGGCTTCTTTCTGTCAAGGCCTTGAGCCACATACTATGTGATACAAAAGATTGTGAGACTCACTTTATATGCTCAGATACCACAATGTCGGTGAGGACATGAGATACGATGGGTAAACATGTGACTAAAAATAGGAGGTATGTAAGTGCGTTTTAGCTACTACAAGGTGTTGGAGGCATCAAGCCCATGGCTCTGGAAGTCCCAGGCTGAGGGCCACGTTGGGTGATGGCCTTATTGCCAGCACATCCCGAGGAGGGCATCACGTGGTAGGAGACGGAGAGCGCTGTGTGTGTGTGTGTGAGCATGTGTGTCCCTTTGGATCTCTCTCCCTCTAATAAAGGACGGGATTCCATCCTCATGACCTCTAACCCTAATTATCTCGCTGAGGTGCTGGTTGTAAACATTATAGCTGGATTGTGTTTGCACTCTCTTGATGCCTCACGTGGGGATTAAATTTCTACGCATCAAACCTTGGAGGACACACTCAAAACCTCATCCAAACCAAAGCGTCCTGTCCCCGGCCCCAAGGCTCATGTCCACAGTCGTTTCATTCCCGGTCGCGTCCCAGGAGTCTTAGCTCATTCCCGCGCTAACTCAGAATTGTGAGACCTCACCCAAGACTCAGGCGAGCTCCTTCCAGCTGTGAGCCCGTACAGTCAAGTGCGTTTGTTAAGGTTTGGACATGGTTTGCCCCTCAAGATTTGATGTGTTGCAAATCTGGTCTCCAGAGTGGCAGTGTTGGGAGGTGACGTGGAACCTTTTTAAGAAGTAGAACCTTAGGGATCTGAGGAAACCTGACTTCCAGAGGGATTAGGAGGCTCTCATGGGACTTTGAGCTGCTGCAAGAGGCACAGCTGGTCATCATAGCATCCCTGACTGCCTCTGGCTTCCGCTTCCATGAGTGAGCTCTTTATCCCCCACACAGGGCCCTGCCCCTGTGGCAGCATCCTCGGTGAGCCCTCACCAGAGGCAGAACCGGTGGGTGGGGCCGCCCTTGGACTCCGGACCTCCAGAACTGAACTTAACAGTATAGCTGTTTGTAGAAGGAGTCCGCGGCAGGTATTTCCTTACAGTAACGCTGAACAGACCAGCGCAGCACTTACCAAGAATTAGTTGAATTCATTCATTTTCTCTTCAGTCCGCAAATATTTATCAAGCACCTCTAAAATGCCAGGCACTGGGAAGAAAGCAGTAAAGAAAAGAAAAAAAATCCCTGCCCCAGGGGAACTTCTTAGGAAGGAGGCAGTCAGTGAGCCAACAAACACCCCATGTATCATGCAGGTGGTGGACAGTCTGCGAGGGAAGCCAGGAGACCAAGAGGGCTGTAACACTCAGGTTAGAGAAGTGGGAGTCAGATCAGGGAAGGTCCTCCGCAGACATTTGTCCAGAGACCTGAAGGAAAAAGGGAGGTGCTTGGCATGTTTAGGAAAGGCCACGGAGGCAGGCATGGCTGAAGGGGTGTGGGCACGCAGAGGAGTGGAGGTGCCGGCGGAGGAGAGGAACCTGGGGTACGTGGGACCTTGCGAAGCGGTTGTGCAGACCTTGTCCTCCAGTATGAGTGAGATGAGAAGTCCTCGCGACTGGGGGACCCTGAGGAGAGATGGGCATGACCTGAGTTCCAGAGATCATCCTGCCTGCCGTGTAGAGAGAACTCGGAGGAAGCAGGGAAGCTTAGGAAGTGATGATGAGCTCCAGTGAGGGGCATCGGGACCGTGGGCCTGGACTCCTGGAGGAGGTGATGAGAAATGGTTGCCTTCTGGGTGTATTTCAAAGGTAAAGCTGACGATTTGGGGATGGTTGGATGGATGGTGTAAAGAAGGAGTCAAAAGTATTTCCAGGGTTTTTGTGGTTAGCAGTTAGAAGGATGGACTGAACTACAGGAGAAGGAGGTTTGGTGGTGGTGTCAGAGTCCCCGTGAGGACATGATCGGTTTGGGAAGCCTGCGTGAGCCTGGACGTCAGAAGCAGAGTACAGTAGTGCTTGCCAAGCATTCCAGGCAAAGTTCAGAATTAGCATTCATCAACCATCAAACTTCACTTCTAGAAAATTATTAAGCTCTGGAGATCTGCTGTGTAGCATTGCATCATAATTAACAGTATTAGATTGTATGCCTAAACACTTACAAAGCTTACAAAAAATAAAGAACCCCAGATCCCACTAAGACTTTTGAATCAGAATCCACACTGTCGGTAGGATCCACAGGCATTTGCCGGGCACCCTCGAGTCTGCGGAGCTCTATCCTGCAGGTTAAGTGCAGTAATTTGCTCTGTAATTGGACTGTAAGTAAGGTAGTGGCTACATATTAAATGTTGTATTATGTTGAATGTTCTATATATAGATTCATCACAGATGTAATCCTAAAATTGAAAGTAAATTTAGTATATACTAAATATAATCATATTTAGTATAATTTGTGTAGTTACTGTAATCTGCATTTTTTATCCTATATCTGTTCAATCCTATATCTGTTCAGTGATTTGTTTTGTTTTTGAGACAGGGTCCCGCTGTGCAGTTCAGGCTAGCCTTCAGCTCACTTTGTAGCCCAGGCTAATTTGAACTTGCAATGATCCTCCTTCCACAGCCTCCAGTGATTTTTTTTTTTTTTTTTAAACTCAAGGGCGGGAAAGAAATCAACATGAAGCTATAATTTAGGAAGTTCTGGGGGATGCAGAGGCTCTATAAAACCCTAAAACAGGTGGAGATCACCAAGAGCATGAGTGAATGAATGCAGGGAAGCAGTTGGCCCCTGAACTTAGCATTTGAAGTGTTTCAGGGTTAGAAGACAGGAAGCAAAAAAGAGAATTAGCAGAACAGGCTGAGACAAAGCAACCAGCCAGACAGGAGAACCAGGAGCCAGTACAGGGCAGCTGCGTGGAGAATGGGTGGAGAGCAGGCAAACTGTTCGTCCTTTGAGGGTCAGTCTGTGAAAAAGGTGAGCATCCAGTTACCACCTCTGTGCAGTTTCCAGTGAGAGTTGTGAGTCATGTATGCGTACCATTGTGCAGCCAGCAAGGCAGTCTGAAAGAAAGTGCCTGGTAATTCCAGAATGCTTAGTGCTGGAGGTGTCTTGGATTTAGAATCATTTCAGCTGTGGGAATAGTTCTGTGTGTGCGTAGTATAATACCTCAGCAGCGGACTTGGTTCTGACCGTGAAACTGTTTTCTGTAGACCAAGTACACATAGTTTTATGCAGTGTTTTTAGCATACCTGCATTTGACCGTTGTCTGTCACATGAGATCAGCTTTCCCATCACATATGGAATTCTAAATTGGTGGCAGGCCATCATTTCAGTGCTCAGAAAATCATAGATTTTGGAGCATTTCACATATGGGTCAGGAATACTCAACGTGTAACGGCCATTTTTACTAGATAGTGAAACAGCTAGAAAGCATAAGTACAGATTTTTTAGTGAGTGCTGAAAATGCTGCCAGATATAAAGGAAGGAAAAAATCAGTATGACTCAGCAGATTAAGGAAGTATTTATGGGAGAAAGAGAAAGGTGACAGATCTTACAATGGATTTTGAGCTAGGCAAAAAGACGCATTCCACATGCTGAGAGCAGTAAGTTTAGATGCCTTTACAATAGCCAGCATGAAATTATTTGAGGTCTGTTGTTTTGCTTTTATTTTGTTTTATTTGTAAACTAGCCTGTAATTTTAATTTTAATTTTTTTTGCCCTTGTAAAGCTAAGCCCAGTAAACACTACAAGACCAGCAGTGAGTGGTACCAGCGTCACGCGCTGCAGTACCTACCTCAGTTAACGACGATCTTTCCTTGTGCCATCCGTCAGGTTTTACCTCCTTTGAGGGACGTCACGAACCGACCTGAGGTTGGCTCGACTGTGAGAAACAAGCTGGTGCGCCTCATGACACACGTGGACCTTGGCGTCAAGCAGATCGCTGCTGAATTCCTTTTTGTCCTTTGCAAAGAGAGAGGTAGGTTACACTCTCTTTGCCCTTGGCTTTCAGCTTTTAGACGGAACTGGAGAAAATTTTCTGTTGCTAGTAACCATCTACTCCACGCTTTCCAGAGCAGACTATTTCTTACCTTTCGTTATTAGAGAAGCTCAGAAAATGCTAAAAATTAATAATTTAGAAATATGTTCACATGCGTCTGGATTCATTGAGATGTGCAGAGAGAGACACGTGTGCGTTGCCAAACACACACTTAGGCTTTGCCTTTTGTGTCCTCAACCGAGACCTCTTCATCTTGATCTGCAGAACCAGGAGCCGATATGGGAAATCTCCCAATAAATCAGTGCCGCTGTTTCTGTAAGCAGGCACAGACACAAGTCAGTTTCTTTAATTCCCCTTGGAATTTAATTCCTCTGAGAATTGAAGATTCGCTTCTTTACTGGGTGCCTTGGCCATTAGTTCTCGAATATAAAATAGGTTATACAGTGTGTAGATAAACAAGCATAAACTGTCCACTTGCTCTTGAAATAATGGTAGCATAGTGATACAGAAAAATTTAAAAATAACTAGAGTACAATTTGATAAATGCTACTGTAAAAGTATATATAATAGTTGTCTGCTGGGATAGATTCAATAGTTAATAAATTTTCTAAAGTCAAGTGGATTATTTACTCTACAGAAACCAAGTTCGCCAGCAAAGAACTATAACTAAAATATTTAGGTATTTTCACCTATTGCTTTTTCTAGTTTGTAGCTGTCCTGGTAGACGATCCCACCTGAACAGAGTTTTTATTCCACTTTCTTAAAGTACCCCTATTTTGTGAGATAGATAATTCATGTCTTCCCAAATCTTAAGTCAGTTGTTTTCTTAAATTTTATTTTTGATTAAATTGATCCAACCACTAAGTTCCTGCTCAAATGGTATATTAACAATATACTTTGATAATTAGTACAATGGTGCTAAGCACAGATGTTATGAATCAGAGGAATCGTGCACCTGGCAGTTTATGTATAACTCACTCACGTGAGCTCTCCAAGAGTAATATTGCTACTTCAGTTTCATCTGATCACTTCTTTCATGACTTAGAAAAAAGATTGTCTTACTGGAATTAAGTGGCTATCATAGTGCCCTGGTACAACTGTAAATATTGGCTGAATTTACTTTTTGGAACTGTTTTTCTAAAAGTGTATATATATGTATATATACAAGCCTAAACCACACATGTGCATCTGCTCATTTTAAAAGGTTTGCCAAAATACATGCTAAACTATGTATAAATTTTAAATAACATTATTTGATTTATTATTATTATTATTACTATGGGTAATAAAATTACTGGTAGGTTATTTTTTCATTTTAGTTCCCTGCATTATAATTTTTCTACAGCCTGCATACATTTCTTGTGTACTTTTTAAAAATTTTTAAAAGCCCAATTAGTTTACATCTTCTATAACTACATATCTAAATCTTATATATTTAAATGTATGTATATCTAACTATAACTTACTGATGAGTTAGTGAGGGTCATGACAGATACATTATATGCATTTGTAAATAGATTTTGTTAATCTTTTTAAAAATTTGAAATAGTTAGCTTTGTGAGATTTTGTAGTTGTGGCTTTGAACCCAACCAGCCTTTATCAGCAGGGTAGTACTTTTTTAATTTGAATTTTGGCAATTGTAGGTACAGTCACATGATTTTCCTTCCAATTTGATGATAAATATATAGATGTAGTCTTTTGGAATAATCACTTTAAAAATTATTTTTAAGCAAGGCCCTGATATTACAGAATACAGGATAAACAAGGTCTCTGCCTCATGCAACTTTCTTTTGCAAAGTTCACTGACTTAAATGGCGACATTGGCCAGGCCAGGCTGGCAGTAGACGTCTGACTGAAAGCTGACTCTCTCCAGCAGCTCCGTGTGGGGTGTGGGAAGCAGTGAGTGGCCTAGGGGCTGGGAAGAGGAGGTGCTGTTTAGCCCCAGCTGATGGTTAACCGTGAAGGCAGATGGGCATGTGGCCAGTGGTACCATATCTTCTGCGTTTCTCAATAGAAGCTCAAACACTGACTTTTTACATAAACTCTCCTTATTTTTAAATGTTTCCAGCTAATTCAAATTTAAAACTTCAGGCAAAAAAGAAAAAAGTCTATAGTCTGTCTACAATTTAAAAGCCATCAGGTTTGGGATTTGGAGGTAGACTATGAAAATTAAATAAATTGGGCTGGGGATTTAGCTCAGCGGCATAAGCACCTTCCTTGTAAGCAGCTGGTTGTGAGTTCGATCCCCGGTACTGATAAAAAAAAATAAAATTAAATAAATTTCAGATCACTTTTGAGAGTGACTGAACCCTAAAGGATGTGCAAATCCAAGCCTCCAAGTGAAGTCAGTCTGCTGGGTGTGGGGCTGTGCACTTGTAATCCCAACAGCCAGGAGACTGTGGGAAATGGATTGCCATGAGTTCAAGGCCAGCCTGGGCTACATTCTGCATCCAAGATCAGCCCAAACCACATAGCAGGACCCTGCCTTTAAAAGGATAAAAACGAGGGCACTGTATGGATTAGTGCTCAAAGATCAGACCGCGGGGCAGGCAGAAGCAGCAGCCAAGGGGCTGCGAGCACAGACCGCATGAAGAAGGCTGCCGAGGTGCGCTAAGGCAAAAGAGCGAACTTTTGGGGCAGACTAGGTGTGGAAAGGGTGTCCGAGTGCAGTACCCATCCACGTCAGGCTGACCCTCATCTCCAGCTGGCCAAGAGGCTGACTTGGACCTGTGCCACCAACTTGTTCTGTTGAGTGTGGAAATAGCGGAACTTTTTATCACCATTCTGCAAATTGTGTACTATGGGGGGCCTACAGATAGGCCTCCCCTAGCTTAATCAAAAGGAAAGGATTCATAAAATAACCTCTTGCCTTGGTGGAGTTTCTGCCTCTTCTAACTAATTACTATTAACTAATTTCTAACTATTCACTAATTTCCATCGTGCCACCCATTGGAGTAGGAATGAATTACAGAGATAAATTAGGCTTAAACTCCCACAGCACGTAGCCCCACGCGTACCCTCCACGCCAGTCTCAGAGTAGTAGGTGCCTCTAGCTTAGAGCTAAGCATTCTCCCTTTCCTGTTTACCTTTTCCCTTCCTGCCTTCCCAGAAGCCATGCTCCATGGATTGTTACTCTTTGTTCTTTTTTTAAACTGCTGTGAGCTTTCCCCAGCCTATGTGCAAGTTCATGTAACTTCCTTCCACCGGAGCTTCTGGAAAGGTAATCTGTTACTGTCCACTTAGCCTTGGACTTGCTGCAGGTAGCAGCTTGCTTACAGGGTCCAGGATGAGTAGAACTTGCTTTCCTCTTCCATTGCTCGTCCCCAGGTGAAAATGCTGCTCAGTGAAGTCCCAAGCACCCCTCCAAAGCAATGGACTTTTTTCTTCACACTGTGTCTCGTACAACACTTGACACTATTGACCCTCGAGATTTCTGTGCTCCCATGCAACCCCAGATGTCTTTTAACCTCTGTACTTTCTTTTCAGTCTCAAGTGCTGACCCCCATCTCTGTCCCTAAAGTCATCTTTTGGCCCTCATTCTCACTGCTGCTTCTTGAACAATCTCATCCTTGGCTTCTGCTCCCAGTTTGTTCAGTAGGTTCCCAGATCGGTTTCCAGCGCCAGGCTTTCTGAATCCGTCGTATTTATCCTCCTGCTTGTGGACACTGTGTTTGGGTTTCTGGTGGGTGTGTCCAGTTCATGTCTAAGGTTGATGCTTACCCTTTGGTCACCGTCCTCTGAAAGGTATCATTTCTGTTCAGGTGCTAAAGCCAGAAAACCAGCAGATACCCAGGATTCCTTCCTTAACTGTAGAACTAAATGTCACCTCCTAAATCTTCCCTTTGGTGTATCCCTCTCCTCTGTTCCCACACCACTACCTTGGTACAGACCCTTAGAACTGTTTTCTTAAGCTATTAAAATAGTCAGATCTCTGTTTCAAGTCAGGTGTTCAGTTGTCTTCCACATGGCGGGCAGGGATTGTTCTAACACAGTGTTGTCATTTCCCTGTGAAACTTTACGTGACACACCGCCACCTGCATGGTAAGATCCAAATTTGACCTCCTTGGCTGACTTCTAGTGTATTCTAAACCTGCTTCCACTCACTCTGCAGGCGTCCTTCTGTGAGCATGGTGAGCTGTGCTGGACCGTGAACACAGCCCAAATGTCGCCTCTGTGGAGACCTGTCTCCCTGACCATCTCAGGCACAGTTCGTCCTTCTCCCTGTGCACCATTTTTACCTAGCTCTGTTTTGGTACTCTTGGCATTTGCTGTGCTGCAAATCTCTTCTTTGTTGAGCTCACTTTCTAGCCCTTGTCTTTCTGTGTAGTTGGAGCATCTTACTCATCTTTAGATCGCTCATGCGTAACAGAGTACCTTACCGACAGGAAGAGCCTTATACATGTTTAATAAAAGAGCACACACTTGAGCCTTCTGTACACTGAGTCTAGGGACTATGCCGTCTCATGTGTTTCTCCTTATACAAAGCTGAGCTTCAAGGAGAAGAGTTAGAATGAGGAGCGGTGCCGGCCCGGAAGAGGCCCGTGCAGGCAGCACGGAGGTCGGAGAGTCTGCGGTCAGTAGGAGGTGGCCTTCGGACGGCCAGAGAAAATCTGGGTGCACGGCGTCCACAGTGTCTCGGTGTGTTAGAAAAGAAGGCAGAGGCCGCAGTGAAGAGCCCACTGGGCTCCAAGGAAACGGGAGAGGTTTTATCCACTCAGAAATCTGGAGAAATGTTGGTTCTCCAAAGACGTGTTGGACAGTTACGTGGAATAAGGACTGAAAAGCTGTGAGCGTGTGGAGGGAGCTGCCACGGGCTTCTCACGGCTGCGGCGCGGGACTGGAAGCAGAGGGTCTATGCACACGAGGAGGCTGGGCTCGGGGGACACGGTCCGTTCGTTCCTGCTGGTAGTCTCACGGTGGAACGTGGTAACCCCACATCTGTCAGGGCGCTCACAGCCTGCCTGTCATTCTGAGGAGGCAGCGGTGAAATGCTGTTTTCTGACCAAAGGCTGTGTTGTTTCACTTCCGGGCAACGGTGCGCGCCAAGTGTGACAGAGGACAGACCGTTGTCCGGGGCAGACCTCAGCAAGGGCTCTCCTCCCCGGGACCGCTGCCCCGGACCGCCAGCTTCAGGCACTGTCCTCCAGCTCCCCAGAGTCCGCAGGCGACTGTGCGTTTGAAAACAGCTAAGACATTGCACCTGTGCTCCCTGCTGCAGGATTTTGTGTTCCAGTGTCTCCCCTTCTTTGCCCTCCAGTTTTAAGTATTTTACCCACTTAGGAAATGTTCATTGGACTTTAAAACCATTGGCTAAATAAAGCTTTGTCTGTTTTGAAGGCAAAGTTTGTCCTAAGTTATTTTTGTAACCCACATTGGCTGTCACAGAGTTGGTACATGTTTGTTCCAGTGAAAGAGCAATAAATTTTCATAAAAACAGGGATTTTCTGCACAAGAAAGCAGCTATTTATTCTTTTAGTATTGTATTTGTTTTTCTTCCACCTATGTTGGCCTTTTATCACCTTTAAGTATCTAAATCTTTAGTAAGTTTGTCGTTTTATATTGTTTTGTGACTTAATTCATTTCAACCATTTATTCATATCCTGTCAACTTAGACTTTAATGATTTCAGTGAGTATTATTTTTCTGGAACTACTAAATATCTTTATTAAAACTAATAAGGGCCTGGGATTTAGCTCAGTGGCACAGTGCCTGCTTGGCAAGTGTAAGGTCCTGAGTCTGATTCCCAGTACCCTCCCCCCCCAAAAAAAAAACCTGATAATGATAAGTCTGGGGGTAGATGGGCCCTGGATTCAACCCCTGTTACACAGAAAACTTAAAAACAAGCCTTCCCAGTGACACGTGTAATGAGTGTGTTGGTGTGTAGGTTTGGATATCTGACCCTTCCTCCTCTATGGCACTGCCGCCCACAATGAGAATATTGAAAATGTTGACACACTGAAAATTCATTGCTTCATTAATTGATCTGAGGATCAATTCATCTGAGGAGGCACTGGTAGCAAGAAGAAACCTGTCAGATTTATTCCAAGGGTTTTCTTGTTACATTCTGATACAATCCTGTCCAGCATCCTCTGAGAATTAGTACCGAAGCAACCACAATTACTGAAGGTCTTAAAGTTGAAAATGTCTAATTTAAGCCCATTTATATTAGTGCCCCAATTTCTTACTGCGCAAATTTCACATTTTGCTGTGTTCTTTGATAGAAGGGCACCCTTTCGTTGTGCTCGGGGTGTGTATGTCCAGTGTCAAAGGGAGCCTCGGTACTCTGTAGTTCAAGTATTTCAAAATTTAGCAAACAACTGTCTTAGAATATTCGTCTGTCCATGCCCTCTGATCACGTGTGTGTGTGTGTGTGTGTGTGTGTGTGTGTGTGTGTGCGCGCGCGTGCATGTACACAATCTATCCCCTTTTCTTGCTCTCCTGTTTCCCTACTCACTGGCCTCTCAGGTTCCCAAAGTCATTTTAGCTGCCCTTCTCTAAATCTTCTCCAGCTTTACTTTGTCTTTTTGGAGATAAGTGATCTAATTACAGCAGTATTTTGGCTGTGGCCTTGTATAAGATCATGTGTTGTGCTGGGCATGGTGGCTCACGCCTGTAATGCCAGCACTCAGGAGGCTGAGGCAGGAGGATCGTTGCGAGTTCGAGACCAGCCTGGGCTACAGAGTGAGCCCAAGGCCAGCCTGAACTGCACAGAGAGACCCTGTCTCAGAAAGACCAAAAAAAAAAAAAAAAAAGATCGTTTGTTGTTTTCTTTCTATGATTATCTTTGGAAAAGGACATTTTAGTAACACTCTGTTGAAGGCCTTCATGCTCATCTTGAAATTTTACATCTGGGGATTATTGCTTATTATCTTCTTTAATGATGTTTAGAAATCACCAAAAAAGTCTGCAGTGCAGGGTCCATTTGCAGAAATGTGATGTGTCAGCTCCTTTTAGAGGCATCACCTTATGCTAGTATTTACCAAACACCTGAACCAAACGCTTCCTTGGACTTACTTCTTTCCTAAGTAATGATTTTACCAATGGTACAGAGAAAAAGAATGAGTGCTTATTTTTTTTTAAAAAATAAGACACTTTTTTTAAAACTTTGCATGTATTAACTTGTGAAGTAGAAAGCTACTCTGTTTCTACAGATCAGAAAGCTTGAGTAGAACAGCTGAATGTTTTACCCGGTCGGTCAGCCAGCAGTAAGCGGCGGAGCCATGACTGAAGCCTCGGTAGCATGAGCCCTGGCCCGCCTTCCCAGCAGGCTCCCTCCGCGCGCTGATGTCCTGCTCTCACTGGGAACTCTTGAATCTGCTTGCTTCTTACGCCTTTCCCCTTGATCCTACAAATAGTAAGGTTTCCTGTTATATACCATACTACTAAAATCCTAATCTGACTTTCACTATCTTTAGTTTACTGTTTCTGTAAAACTGAGTTTTAAACAAATATTAGAGGTCTGAAACTTAAACATGACCTGATCAATCACCTGCCAGTGACAGAGACCTACCCTTTGCAGAAGGTGCGCTCAGATCAGCTCTGTTTACATTCTGTCTTCACACACACACACACACACACACACACACACACACACACACACACACGGCTCTGTGATCTCTGAACATGTAGAAGAATTTGGGTGTTTGTTTGTTTGTTTATTTTTTGCGGTACTGGGGATTGAACTCATGACCTCATGCTTGCCAGGCAGGCGCTTATGCCGCTGAGCTAAGTCCTCAGCCCTTGTAGAGGAATTGGTAGTGGAAACCTCTGTTTGAGGCTTATTGCTCGGCAGGTGTCTCGTGCCTCCCTGTGTGATTGTGTGGGTGACGGTGACGGTGGCAGTGCGTACCCAGATTCCTGTCTGAACCCTTTCTGTTTTCACAGTGGACAGCCTGCTGAAGTACACCGGCTATGGGAACGCTGCAGGACTGCTGGCTGCCAGGGGCCTCTTGGCTGGAGGAAGAGGAGATAATTGGTACTCAGAGGATGAGGACACAGACACCGAAGAATACAAAAATGCAAAACCAAAGTATAGTATCCAGTTCCCTTTCACCTACCATAGCTGTGCCTTTGAGTTGGTTATTTGCCTTTCACTTTCTTTGTCTTTCATTTTCCAATGTTTCTTTTCTTTGTGGATTTGGAAACTTACCATTTAATGGTATTTTTAGAGGTCATTTCATAGCTGTGGCCTTAGAGAGTGACTTCAAGTGACTAAGGAAGGACTGTATCACAAGAAATATGTGTTGTATGTTTTACATACACTTGTTACCCTCTTTCAAGTACTGAGAGAGCTTTTAGGTATCTACTAGGTACTGAAATATATATTGTTTACATTTTGGCCTTCCTTTCCATAGGTTGAGATTATATAAGGTATAACAAGAGCAAGTATTAAGTTGGTTATTTGATGATTCAGTCTTTCTCACAAATCTAAATGCAGTTTTCATACATTATGAAAGGAACCCTAGCAGAGAAGCCCTTATGAGTCAGAAGGTGATAAACGGGCCCTCATCACCGGGGAAAGGGTAAGAAATCTGGCTCCATGTGGAATTCAATCACACGTGGACTAGGCAAACTAGAAATTCTATGAAGGCTTTTCTAAGGCAGAGCTTGTAAATGAAAAACACTGATTCTTCTCTTTTTTTCCCCAAGACCAATCTGCCTTTCCATCTTTCCATTCCCCTCCTCATTTCTGTTTCCTCTCATCCTTGTCACCCCCTTTAACCCTAACCCCAGGTGAGTTTCTTATTCTCCACTGTTAGGAGCCGTTTCGTCTCAGTTTTAGTGGGTTCTATTAATCAATATTAAAAAGCTACACCCTTTCCTCTTGGCATTTTGAGTGATGTTGACATGCTGTTTTCTCCGGACGGGTTCTAGAGTGTTTTGTGGATCATGTAGTAGGTGATTAAGGGTAGAAACTCATCTAGGCTAAAAATGTTTAACTTAAAAAACCAGAGTGTGTGTGTGTTTATAGATCGTGCCCTCCTGACATGAAAGTAACAGGTGGTGAGGGGAGAGAAATGACCAGTTCCCAGGGAGGCAGGAGAAACTGTCTTTTTCTTGGTAAATCACATACTTTTCACATCCTTAGTGGTGTCCACCTCAGCAGGATCTTACAGAGTATGTCCTAGGGAAAAAGGCCTTGGGGGAGAAAACTAGCAGTGACCCCAAGAAATGTTCTTAAGACTGCTGCCATTTAGACACTCTAAACGATCCCTATTTCTTTCCCTAAGTCGTTCTAATTTAGTCTTGCTAGCTCTTGCTTTTTCTAGTCTATAAACTGTATTTTCATACCAGTTTAATATTTTACATCTTGTTTCACTTAAGATAGGAAAATGTACTCCTTGTACAGACCCCCCAATACACCGTGATGGAGTCTTGGGTGACCTCAAACTGCTGAGCGTAGGGACTGTTTCTGCATCAGCTTCCTGAGGGGTTGGGGTTGTAAACACATGCTACCACGCTCAGCTAGACTCTTGTGTTTTTTAAATGAAGGGGGAAATTACGTCAGGTCTTCCTTGAATCCTGAGAAAATTGGAACACTCGTGGATGGCTGATACCTTTGCATCTCGGGCTGTGTTGTTGATTAGCATGGTCATGGTCACATGTCTGGCAAATGCCAGAATGCTGCCCTAAGAAGAGGGACTCAAAGAAAAGGCAGAAACACGAGGTGTCTCCAAAGGGTACAGAAAACAAAATCATGTGACATTATGAAGGGAATGTGAGGAGGGAAACCCAGGTGGCAGAGTGGTAGGCCGAAGAGAAAGGGCCTCTCGGAGACGCACCATCCAGACACTTGGCAACACCCAGAAGGCAGGAAGCGGGACATGGGCCCCCTGGACCCAGCAGGAATCCGAAGCACCAACTGACGCCCACAGAGAGTGAAGAGAAGAGCCTCAGTGAAGAAGAAGGAGGCCGCCAGCCGCACCTCTCCCCTAAGGAGAGACACATGGTGACCCCTGGCCACCCAGGCCTTCACAGAGAGCTGCCGCAGTGAGAGGGAGCAGTGCTCTAGCCGTGGGGAGTGCTGAGGCTCAGTTCTGCTGCATGGGCCCTGGTGAGGGGCCAGCGAGCTCAGAACCAGAGGTGCTGCGGCTCCATCCAGCAGCTGGCTGCCAGCTGGGCTCAGGTCCGCAGAAGGTGCAGGCTCACCGGGACTGTCACTACCCTGCCAGACAGCTACTGCTGGCTTGCTGGGATAAATCAGCATGGATCGGGACTCCGTGTCTACATGTTGTCTACCAGTGACAGCAGAGACAGACCTGGTAGTGGATCTCTCTCTGTCTCTCTGTCTCTCTGTCTCTGTCTCTGTCTCTTTCTCTCTCTTTCTCTCTCTCTCTCTCTCTCTGTCTCTCTCTCCTGTTTTGTTGTATTGGTGGTTTTTTTTTTTTTTTTTTTGCTTTTTTTCTCTCCATTGTTTGATCCTGTTTTTACATATAAAAATGTGAACATGATTGCGAGCCTCTTTGTGGTTCTTATTCTTTTCTATTTTTCTGTTTACTTCTTCCTTCTGTCTTTCCCTCTAGTGTTTGTCCTCCAGCCTTACTTCTAATCTCTTCCTCTTTTTCTATTTCTCTATTTTCTCCCTAATTCCTTTTAAGTTTTAACCTGTGAGGGAAAAATTGACATATTAAGGTTTATATACTACCTATAATTTTCCGGTTTGTATCAGATTTTCTTATATAACTACAAATCTAGTTCATGCAGTTAAAGGTGGCAAACTGATTACCTCAGTTTATCGTTTTCTAGACTGTTTTTGATGCTATTGTTGTTGCTGATGGTACAACTTTAGCCAAAGGTGACATAATTGTTCTAAACACAGGTTCTTCCTGGTATTCCAAGACTGAAATTGACTAAGGGTCACAGAAAATACTCTGGCACAGTGCCAAAGCACCAGGGGCTGGGCCAAACAGGTAGCAACTTCTCATCCCCAACAAATTGAAGAAATAGAATCTTACAACCGACTCAAAATCCAAAAAGTAGCTACACCTGGAAGATACCTCAGAGAACTAGTTGTTTCCTAATGGTTCTAAATAGTAGCAGTAAAGCAACCCACCATGGGCAACAAGCATCACCTCAGGAATTAAACTTTAAAACAAAATGAGAAGACACTTAAATGAGATGCAACCCAAGATCTCCAGTTCACCAAAGGCAAACCCCGGATCCAGTGAGGTGGGATAATCTGAAACCCACCCACCTGACCTCTCTGAAGTGGTAACAACAAAACAATTGAATGAGGGTCTGGAAAAAATCAAATCAGAAATACTAGGTAACTGCAAAAATGGTATCCACAATAAAACCATGTTTAGTTACTTGAGAGCAGATGCAGATTAAAAAGCATAAAAGAGCTTAAGAAAATTATGGGAGACATAAATGCTCAGCATAGAAAAAAATAGAATCCATAAGGCAAATTCAAGCAAATATCCAGCAGAATAAAAATTCCACTGAAAGTATCGGCAGCAGAATAAGCCAGTGCAAGGACAAGATCTCACGTACAGAAAACAGGCTTGTGGTTAGCATTCATAAAAAGAAATATTTCTTAAAAACAGCAAAGGACCATAACAGGTCAGTCCAGTGTTGCTAGTTGAGGCAAAAAAGAGTAACAAGATTGATTGGAGTTAATGAAAAAGCAGGAGATAGCACAAGTGATTTTAACACACATCAGGGCAGAAAACTTCCCTGGCAGGGAAAAATAATTTAACATACAGATAAATGAGGCATGTGAAACTATTAGTCATGATCAAAAAAAAAATAAAAAAAAGTCTACCGCCAGGCATAACATAACCAAGATTCCGGAAATTTAACACAAGAATAGAATCTTTAAAGGTAGGAAAGCCCATCAGAATCACAGCTGACTTCTCAACACAAACACTCAAGTCAAGGAGATCTTGGAGTGAAGTATTTTAAGCTCTAAAAGAAAGTAGCCTTCAACGCAGATTGATGTACCCCACAAAACTGTCTTTCAAAACTGATGGAAAAATAAGATCCTCTCGTGCCAAAGAGCTTTCTGAACATCTGAGGAAGTTTAAGAACACCAAACTAGCACTCCAGAATGTTTTTAAGGACATTCTAGAAAGAGAGAACAAGGACTACAACTCCATGAACCCCAACAGAGGAATCCACCGGGCAGGGCAAACAATGAAATGGGGTGGGAGGAAGGTAACCAGCAATATGAAAGTAGCATGACAGAGATGAGTCAGTACACACCAGGTCCAGCCATTAATGGTACTGGTCTCTATTCACCAACCAAAGGCACAGACTGGCAGAATGGACCAAGAAGCAGGATCCAACAGTATGCAGCTTACAAAAACACATTTAATTGAAAAAGAAATACACAGACTGAAAAATCAAAGGATGGAAAACCATACCACTATACAAGAACTCTGAAAAAAGCAGGGGTGGCTATTCTGTTTGCAGACAGAGTTTCAAGCCAAGAATGATGAAGAGAGACAGAGAAGGTCACTAAATCCTTGTAAAGGCAACAATCCAAGAGGAAGACATAACAATCATAAATATATATGCAACAAATACCAGTGCACCCAGCTATATGAAACAAGTATTAACGGACATGAAAAATCAAATAAGCACTAATACAATTGTATTGGGGGAATCTCAATACCCCACTGCCACAAATAGATCAACTAGACCTAAAATCAACAATGAGATATTAGAACTGAATCAAACTTATAAACAAATGGACATAGTGTATGTGTAGAAGAGAGTTCTGCCCCACAACATCAGAACACACAACTTTCTTAGGTGCACACTCTTCAACATAGACCACATACTAGCTCATAAAACATGCTTAAGTAAATGCAAAGAATTTGGAATTATACCATGGTTATTATCAGACCATAGTGCAATGAATTTGGAAACCAGTGGTAAAAGAAACCACAAGAACTTCACAAACACATGGAAATTGAATAATACGCTTCTGAAGAGCCAATGAGTCACAGAAGAAATTAGTTTCTACAATTAAATGATAGTGACAGTACAACATACCAGAACTTAGACACAAAGCAGTCCTAGGAG